CTTTCCCTTGCTTATTTGCATGCTCTTCCCTTTTGAGCCTTAATATTTAGCTTCTATTTGGGAAATGAGCCAAAAAATCAGCAGGACACTGACCTTAGGTCTAAGGGGCTCCTGGGTGTCTGGCTGGGAGCCTGGGCTATTGCTTCTCCCTTGTGTCCCCACAGCTGGTGCTGGGCCCCAGTGGTGTGCTGCAAGGGATCCGCCCCGGGAAGTGCTACGTGGACATGTCAACAGTGGATGCTGACACAGTCACCGAGCTGGCCCAGGTAGCGGCCTAATTCGGGCTGGCCCTCCAGCATCCTTTCAGTTGGAGCCCAAGACCCAGGCTAACCATGCCAAAGCGTGGGCAACTTAGTTACTCTAGAGCCAAAGCCAGAGACTTTGGGACTAGCCTGTCTTCACTCTCTGCCTTCAAATCTACAGCTAGTCTGAGTGGCTGTGAAAGGAGACTTGTTTCCTGGCTGGGATGGGCATTGGGTCCTATAGCTGCCAGCCTCTCAGAAGCAATCTAGGCTGCCAGCAGGGCCGTTTAGATTTAAGCAGCTTTCTACAGATACTAGCAGAGTATTCCACCACGCTGAGCCACTGGGCCCAAGTGAGGGGGTGGTGATTTGTGGCCCATGTGCATTCTACGGGTGGCTAAAATCAAGGTAGGACGGTGTCTTTAGGAAGTGTGGTCGACCATGCCATTGGCATTGTCATGTTGGTTATAGTCTTTGGTCTTTGTGAGAAATTCCGAGTAAATGGGAGCCTATGAGGACACCCCAGCTTCTCTCTGTCTACTGCATGTGATTCAGGCACCTGGTGGAGGACAGTCTGCTGACCCTCCCATTGTCAGTCCAGCACCTTGGTACGGGCGTCAGCTTTGGGGCCTCGGCGTGGAGGGTCAAGTGCTCCTGCCCCAGTATGCTCCTTGCTTCCTGCCCAAGACCTTCATGAGAGGCAAGGCCTCCAGAAGCTGTGACTTTCCTTTCCAGGTGATTGTGTCCAGGGGGGGCCGCTTTCTGGAAGCCCCGGTCTCAGGGAATCAGCAGCTATCTAATGATGGGATGTTGGTGATCTTAGCGGCCGGAGACAGGGGCTTATATGAGGACTGCAGCAGCTGCTTCCAGGCAATGGGGAAGACCTCCTTCTTTCTAGGTAACATGCCTGCCCACCTGTCGGGCCACTTCAGGCCTGGAGGCTGGGTGGGCCACATCCCCTCTAGACCGCCCTGATGACACCGTCAGTCCCGCACGGCCTCTCTGCCTGGGGCCCCCATGGGAAGGTTTCCTTTGACTTGCACAGTCAGTGCCTGGAAGGAGGAAGAGCCAGAAGGGTCAGAGCCAGTTCTGTCAGGGGCAGGTGAATGGGGCCTCCCCTGGGTGTAGAGGTGGGTCCAAGCAGGGGTGAGGGTGGGCAGAAAGTCCCTCCCCACAGGATTCTTGGGATGTGACCACGATTCTTTGCCCTGGGCAGGTGAGGTTGGCAACGCAGCTAAGATGATGCTGATCGTGAACATGGTCCAGGGGAGCTTCATGGCCACCATCGCTGAGGGGCTCACCCTGGCCCAAGTGACAGGCCAGTCCCAGCAGACACTCTTGGACATCCTCAATCAGGGACAGTTGGCCAGCATCTTCCTGGACCAGAAGTGCCAAAGTAAGTTGCCTTTGGCCTCTCGTTTTGCGTTTTAGTTTTGGTTGAAGCTGGGAACTGGGTCAGGCAGTTGTCACAAAACAGCCCCTTCTTCAGGGGCTCATTGTGTGTGAATGATGCACCCACTCCTGTCAGTCCAGGCCCCCAGTCAGAGAGCGTCCAGAGACATGGTAGATAGGATTTGGGGCTACAGGCTGGGAACTTGTCTCTTGGGTGTCCGAGGGGGAGGAAATGCTAGGTATTGACCTCTGACAGGACTCCAGGTGGTTTCTTATTTAGGATCCTTTCAGTTCTTCTGATGAATGACTTTCCCTCCTCAGATATCCTACAAGGAAACTTTAAGCCTGATTTCTACCTGAAATATATTCAGAAGGATCTCCGTCTAGCCATTGCGCTGGGTGATGCCGTCAACCATCCGACTCCTATGGCAGCTGCAGCCAATGAGGTAACAGCAGGAGGTCGGGGTGCTAGTCCCAGCAGCCCTCCTTTGTTTCCCTTGCACTCCTCCCTCTGCTTACTTTGGCTTGGCTTGGCTCTGTGTCTAACCTCTCAAGGTAGAATCTTAGGTTGTTGATTTTAGACCTTCCTTTTCTAAGTATATTTCCTCCGAGCCATGCTTACTTCCCTGGGAGTTCTTCTTTGACCTGTGGATTATTTGTCAAATACAAATAAAAACCCTGAAGGGTTTCCTAGATACCTAATGGTTATTGATTTCTAATGTATCTCTGTGATCCAAAAAAATATACTACATATGGATTTTAACTCTTTACATTGATTCAGACTTGTTTTGTGGCTCAGCAGATGATCTGTCTTGGTGGGTGTGCCGTGTTCACTTAAGAAGACTGCATGTTCTGCAGTTGGGTGCTGTGTTCTGCACATATCAATTAGGTCGAGATGGTAGTATTTTTTCAGATTATCTTTACTGACCTTTTTCTCTAGTTCTTTCAATTGCTGAGAAAGGGATGTTAAAATCTCCAGCTGTGATTGTGGGATCATGTTTCTCCCTTTAATTCTGTCCATTTTGCTTGATGTCTTTGTTATTGGGCTCTTAGCCATTTATGCTTGTTATGTCTTCCTGATGAATTTGCTCTTTCGTTATTAAGAAATGTCCACCTTGACCTTTGTCTTGAAGTCTGTTGTCTGATTTTCATATGGCTGCTGTAGCCTTCTCATGCTTACGATTTCCATGTGATGTATTTTTTCCATCCATTTACTTTCAACCTTTGTTTTAAAATTGTGTCTGTTGTAGACAGTCTATAATTGGGGCTTGCATTTTTATCCGTTCTGACACTGTCTGCCTATTAATTGGATTGTTTAGTCCTTAACATTTTTTTTGAATGACATCTATTAAGCACCTACATAGGCACTTTTTGGAAACAGTTTTTTAGAAGTTCAGTTTTCTTATCTCAATCTGATAGAAGTATAAGCTTAAAAAAAAAGAAAAACAGCTGAGCAATATTTGTCTTTACTATAGAATTACAATAAAAATTACATTTTGGGCTTCCCTGGTGGTGCAGTTGTTAAGAATCTGCCTGCCAATGCAGGGGACACAGGTTCGAGCCCTGATCTGGGAAGATCCCACATGCCGCGGAGCCTCTAAGCCCGTGCGCCACAACTACTGAGCCTGTGCTCTAGAGCCCGCGAGCCACAACTACTGAAGCCCGCACGCCTAGAGCCCGTGCTCTGCAACAAGAGAAGCCACCACAATGAGAAGCCCGTGCACCGCAACGAAGAGTAGTCCCTGCTCGCCGCAGCCAGAGAAAAGCCCGCGCACAGCAACGAAGACCCAACGCAGCCAAAAAATAAAATAATAAAATAAATTTTTTTAAAAACTACGTTTTGTGAAACACGTACATACATGAATCACACAGATTCATTTATTTTAGAGACTCTGTATTCCAAGTGCTATAAGCTAGATGCATTTTTATTCAAGTTAAATAGAGGATTCAAGTGGCTTGTTCTATAGAGACAAAGAAGAAGTAAAAATACACAGTACTGGGGAATTCCCTGGCTGTCCAGTGGTTAGGACTCCTTGCTTCCACTGCTGGAGGCCCAGGTTCCATCCCTGGTTGGGGAACTAAGATCCTGCAAGCCGCACAGCGTAGCCAAAAATAAATAAATAAATAATACACAGTACTGTTCTTTTCAGACCTGTCTTTTCATCGTTTATAATCTTCTGTCCTTGAATTCTGTGTCTCTGTCCTTCCTTCACGTGTCTGAACATCCCAGAGTACTTGTTTCACTCTTCCAGTTTGCAGTACAATTTCAGGTTCCTCCTTTCTTACCTTCAGGTTCTCTCTTGGTAGTGGAATTCCTCGTGTGTTGTATAATTCTTCGTTGATGAGTTTGTAACTGGTTACTTCTGAAGGGTTCCATGGTGGCTTGTGTTGGGAGCACTTCTCTGTGAGGTGATTTCCACTTGCCTCTCCCTTGACTACAGGATTCGTTGGCTTGGAAACAGACATTTTGGTTAATTTCTTGATGGAGCACGGCACTTTATGGCCACTGTTTGGAGTTCAGGATCTTGAGGTTAACTGGTCCATTAACATTTAGTCTTTGTCTTGAAGTCTATTGATATGTGGTTGGATTTAGAGCTACTCTTTTATCATTTGATTGCCATTTGTCCACTCTGGCTTTTGTTTGTCTGTTCCTCCTTTCTTTTGGGATATCCCTTTTTTGGGATATTTGAATATGTTTTAGAATTCCATTTTATCGGGACTTCCCTTGCGGTCCAGTGGTTAAGACTCTGCCCTCCCAATGCAGGAGGCCCGGGTTTGATCCCTGGTCAGGGAACTAGATCCCACATGCCACAGTGAAGATCCCGAGATCCTGTGTGCCACAACTAAGACCCAGCGCAGCCAAATAAATAAATAAATATATTTTTTTTAAACTTCCATTTTATCTATTGGCTTTTTAACAGTGCATCATTTTTCTTTTGTCTTTGCTCTAAGGATTGCTATATGCATCCTTAATTTCACATCCTAGATTAGACCTCTTTACATAAAATGTAGATTCATTTACCTCTCCCTCCCTCATCTTTTAAAGCAGGGTTTCTCAACCTGGGCACTATTGACGTTTTGATGTGAGTGCTCTCCAGTGCATTGCAGGATGTTTAGCAGCATTCCTGTCCTCTACCCACTATATGCTGGTTGCACACCCTCAGTTCATAGAAGGTATCTCCAGACATTACCAAATCTCACTCCAGGTGGGGAGCAAAATGACCCCGGGGTTGAGAACCCTTGCTTTAGAGTACAGTTGTCCTATGTGTTAACATTTGTCTTTGTTTTAAGCCCACCGTTGTCAGAATGTCTTGCTTTAAGTAGTCATATGTATTTTAAAGAAATTCAGAGAAAAAATAAGTTCATGTTTCTCTAATTTACCATTTCCAGTACTTTCCTTTCCTTTCTGAAGAATTGAATTTCTCTCTGGTATTGTTTTCCTTTCAGCTGGAAGAACTTGCTTTAGCATTTCCTGAATGCAGATTTGCTGGCAATGATTAGTTCTCTTTTATCTCAAAAGGTCTTTATTTAGTCTTCATTCTGAGTTGACAGCTACACCTGAGCTGTAGTGGACATCATGTTTAGAAAAAGAAAAAAATGCAGCCAGCCAACTGTGTGGGAGGAACCTGTGTCCAGCTGCATTTTTTCAACATGACTGGATGTTGTGCTGCCCTTCTTAAACGATGGCTTTTTAATTTTTCTCACACTCTTT